TTTTTTTTTTTTTTTGGGGGGAATACCTCACAAGTTGCAGCGACCCCGCCCCCAAAAAACAAAATAATAATTACAAAAAAAATGCAGTGACTACACTGCATGGGCAGTGGAATGCTGAACTGAGGGCACACCCCCCCGCTACGACTTTTTGAACTCACCTCTGGACGTGATTGCGGTCAGATGCATCCAGGTCCGCCCGTTAATCTCCGTTCCCACACATTTAGGAAAAGTGCTATCTTATAAAAAAAACAAAAGGTGCTATCGGTAGTGTGAGTGTGCCCTCAGCAGCTTCTCCCCGTCCTTCCCTCCCTTTTCTCCTCTCTCTCTCCCTTTCCTTCCCTTGGCAGCGTCTGTCCGTCTCCTTGGCTGTTTCTTCTTCTTCTTTTTTTTTGGCCTTTCGTGGGTGCAAACGGGCACGTCGCTCCCCAACGCTTGATAAAACAACTTCGTTTAGAAAAAAAAAAAAAAAAACTTCGTTTTTGTTTTTTATTTCCCCTCACGCCAGCTTGTTCCCACCCCACCGGGCACGTAGAAACCCCAGCGGCTGTGGCGACAGCTACACAAGGGGCAAGGTCCCACTTGCCCAAATCAGGATGGAGATTTCGGCCGTTGATCTTTGCTATCTACGGTCAATATCGCTTAATTCGTGTAAGTGGGACCTAGCCCAAGGTAATAAAGAGTACACTGACATGACAGTAGCATGTCCTAAATGTATCTGACTGCAATTAACGCCATACCTGGACGAAGCTGACTGCAATCACGTCCAGAGTACGCTCTAATAGTAGGGGCATCTTCATGAGCAGACTACCATGGGCGGAGGTGATGAGAGGACATCGCATTTCCCCTTTTTGAAAAACGAGGGGGGCGAGGAACGGCGGAGAGGGGGAGGGGGGAAACGAGGGGGCAAAAACAAAAAAAGAAGGGTGTTCATCATGTTCATGTACGTCCTAGGGCCTCGCTCCACTACTCACCACATGCACAAAAGACCAAAAATGAGGCAGCGGAAGATTCAGGGCATACTCACACAAGGACCAAAAGACCCTAAATCCCAAAATTGGAACGATACAGAGAAGATTAGCATGGCCCCTCCGCAAGGATGACACGCATAAATCGTGAAAAATGGTCCGAATTAAAAAAAAAAAAAAAAA